ATCCCACTCAGGTGATGACATAACATTATGACAACACTCATTTGTTTGGCTTGGTACGGCTACATAAACCTCTGGATCAATCCAAGTCTCTGCTTGATCATGTGACACTGATGTTGTCTCATTAAACGATGAATAAGGTTGCTGGAACATAGGATCTTCAGTGTCTTCTTGAAGCAAAAGATCTTCTAATGCTTTTGCTGTTGCTGTTGTGTCTGAAACATCACAATCATTAAATAACTGATTCACCATTCCACCATTATCATCAGCTTCTTGAGGCATGATACCTGGGAAAGAGTTTTGAATAATCGCCAAGTCAACCGCATCAAACTCCATGTCGAAATACTGCGAGCCTTCAAACGCGTTTTCTCCAAACGCAACATGATCAAGATCTTCGTTAATGAGACTGTTATCAACGTTACTAAGAGGATACATCTCTTCCAAACGCCTCCTCTTACACGTTGTGTAATACTGAGACCTGACTGGTGTAGTTCTGTGATGATGAGTTTGTGGAAGAAACTGATCCGAGTACATGTGATCGAATGCGACTGATGAAGATAGAGATGTGACATTAGGGTTGTATAGAAGAGAATGCCATCGATCTCTTAGTTCAGAAAGTGTAAATCTCCTAGAGAATTTTACTGCTCCTTTAGCTAACGACTCTAGAGAAGCTCCATTCTATAATATAACAAGAATATTGATTAGAAAATTGCAAATCCTGGATTTAAATATTCCAAGATTTATATCATATCGGTAAATAATCAATAAGAAACTCGTAAGAGTCAATCTAATTAAGTTTTGATTGGATGACTTGGGACACAAGCTAGCATGTTGAATATAGGGTTTAAACGCTACAGTGCATGATCTAGGGTTTTAGTTCAAGATTCAGTAACATCGACATGTTACAGAAACACGAGATACGAAAAGACAAGAACATGTAGTAGAATATTACAGAAAAAAAAAACGTAGTGGAAATTAGGGTTTGGTGAAAACATATACCTCGATGGATTTTCTGAGACGAAAGTCATCTTCAGGGAGCCAGTGAGAAGCCATAGGAGACTCAATCGATGAAGCTTTTCTTCTGGGAAACGATAGAAGCTTCTGTTGAGTCGACGAGATATTGAGAAAGGAAATATTTTCTAAATCAGCCACCGAATCTTAATTATCTATAATTAGCGTTTTTAATTAGCCAAATAAAAAGAAAAAACTCTAGTCTTCTCGTTTTCTCGATTTGATTTAATTTAATTTAACCCGTTTTTTAAATTAAAAAAAAATCTCGATATATATCCTTTTCCTAGTTGATTTTATGTTATTTCTTGTGAAAAAAGTAGTTTTGTTTTTTTATATAACAAATGTCAATGATAATATGTACAGCAGTATAACTACCAATCTATACTATTATTTGCGAAGTGATTTTTCGCAACGGAGCTCTCACGTTAAAAGTTAGAGTGGTTAATATCGTTTATACCCTTAATGAATAATTAAAAAAATTCAATATATAATTAACTATAAATAAAAACGAATTTCAGTGGTTTAAGATTTATCCTTATCTAAAAATATTTTCTAATGTTTTAAATAGTCTTTATTAATCTTGAAAATAGTTTTATTTGTTAATATATAATTAATTATAAATTAAAAACGAATTTCATTAATTTTATAATTATCCTTATCTAATTTGTTTATATTGTGTTATAAAATCTTTATCAACATTGAAAACTAATTATATTTGTTAATCTATAATTTATCATTAATTAAAAAAAAACTAATTCATTTGATAATTATAGATAAAAAAATAATTTATACTGTGTTATCCAAAAATAATAATTTTCATCTTATTTTAAAAATAAAACTAAAAATAAATTCGTACATATTATTTTCTATATATTTTTATGTATACCAAAGTATTAATTTATGCAATAAAAGATAATTTTATTATACTCAAATTTGTTTCATATCTTAAAATTTGATATTAATTTATTACTAAATATTTTAACTTATAAGTGTTTTTAAATTTAATTTATGTAACGGCAATTATTATATTATGATGAAAAACATAATATATAAAAAACATTATTATTAAATATCTTGAATATATAAACAATAACTTATTTTAATGTTACTTAAATTGATTAGATATTTATTTATAGATATTTGTAAAATCATTAAGCCCGCATGTGCGGGCAAAAACACCTAGTTACTCTATTATAGGAGTAACGTTTAGTATTAATGAATGATGGTAAAATAAATAAACAAAAATTAAGCAAACCGACATTAGCGAGCGGTTTGATGATTAACTTAATTAGTTAAAAAGAAATAATAATGTAAAATATGCGTTAAGTTTGGCGTTTTAAATAAGGAAGCTTAATCGAATTAGGATCTAGAGTCCAAAGCAAGCATTGATGCTCATACTTCTTCCATTAGAGTTTCAAGCCACCAATGGATTCCATACAACTTTTGAAAACTACAAAACAATGATGCACTAAAAGAGTAAAAGTATTACTCTTAACGCAGAAATATTATTCTTAGCGCAAAAAGTTCCAGATGTATAATGGGCTATAAAGTAAAGCCCATTAGCTTGGACGTCATGCTAAAGTACTTCGGATGTAATGCCCAAATCATTACCCACTAACGTCCACAAGGTTGGGGCTCACCCGAAGTTTTTTTTTTTTTTGGGGTCAAAATTCCATAGTCCTATTAGGCCAACTCAATATTATAAACCTGAAACTAGAGCATAGTGGTAAAGATTCGTGACAAGCTATAGAAAGCTATCTAAATGGTTTATACATGTTAGCTTAGCTATATAACACATATTAGAAGATTATGAAGAATGGTGGTGGTCACGTGACAATTGACAAATGCCAATGAGTCTATGAACCTTCGTGGAGACCACAAGGCATATATAGGCCTATTAAATTATACGCTTATATGTACTTAAATATGCGTATTAAGACTAGTATTTTTATATACACACACACTAACATAGCTAGAGCTTAATGTGAAGCATGTGCATGGATGGGAAGACGGGCCCCACGGGCTTTTATGAGGCCCAAAAAGCTAATGGAGGGGGACCACGTGGCATGGGGCTAGTACCTACAAGTGGAGGGATCCTAAGAAAGTAAAGTACGTAGAAGTTTGATCTCGTGATCGTACGTACTGTTTCTACTATTGGCATGCAGTGTTCGTCGCCTAGGGTTACAGAATTAGTCTTGCTTATTATACTTAACTTGCCATGTATTCATGAACCACAGTTACAATCACATCACCTTGTATATTGTTTTCGTTTTTTTTTAATTGTCTTATTTACATATAAATAAATGTACGATGGGAAATTCGTGTAAAGTAGGTGACTGCACAAGAATTTTAATATTCTAGTAACAGTATGGACATCTTCAAAACCAAAAATTAGTTTTTTTTCTCCCCCATTTTGTTTTCAAAGTATTGTTGGCGTTATGTATTGGAATACAAGTATTCCTAATGCAGTAAATCGAATATCTTAGCTTTAGGAAGACGCTTTGAGTCACTTCATTCCTTTATTTCCAACAAGACAAAACCCGTTTTTAGCGGAAAGAGCATAATTATAACTTAGCTTTAAGCAAGAAAAATGATATGGTCACAAAGGCGTATAGTAGAGAAAATGTTATTTACAAAAAAAAAAAAAAACATCCATTCGTTCAGATCTACTTCCATGAGTCATAAGTGTATACTTGTGAGAGTAAAGCGATTCATATTTACTGCATAGACATTATAATGACTATATATTAGAATATAGAAGATGAAGAAAGAAAAAACTTTTATAGGTATCAAAAAATAATTAATACTTTGCTGAAAAACACTTAGCTAACTAAACAGTTTTGAAACCATAATTTGGTTATTTTTATGGTGAGTACGTTATATATGCGAATAATTATGAAAGCAAGATTTATAAAAAAAAAAAGAGCCGACAAAATTATGTTTTAAACCAATATGACACCGGTTCATGAAACCGTACAAGATTATGTAATAAGTTTTGAATAGTTTCTCATGCTGATTCCAAAGCTAACGTATTACTTTAGCGAGTTAAGGGGTTTCTAACGTTGAGGACCTAGCTAGGGTGGAGTCTATTTCACATGTTTTGGTAATTAGCTTAGATTTTGGCTTGAACTTTATTAGTTATAATGTATATATACATCAGTATATATGGTAATCTACGGGCATGTTTATTAGGGGTTCTTTAACTTATAATTTTATATTTTTTTTCATTTTATATTTTTTTATTTTTAGCTAAGAACCGACTCTTATATTTTTTTATTTTAGAGTTAGTTCTTAGTTTTTTTTAGTTAAAAATTAAGGAACGTATCTAAATCGAAATTAAGAATCCTCTCTAAGAATTTTCCGATAAACATGGTCTTAAGCATATTTATTAGAGAGTTCTTAGAGTGAGATTTTAACTCATAATTTGATTTATTTTATTTTTTTTTTATTTTTTTTTTGCTAAAAATCGAATTTTATATCTTTTTTTAAAATGCTAGTTTTTAGTTTTTTTTTAACTAAAAGCTAAGAAACGTATCTTAATCGAAACTAAGAATCCCATATAAGAACCCTCAATAAACATGGAAGTAAACATTATTCTCGAAAACTAATACAGTTGATAGTTAACCAAGTAAACGTGTTAATTTATATCAGGGGTGATTCGTTTTAATCAAATACTGAAACATCAAGGTTTTGCTAATTTGTAAGGTCTTATTATTGGGTCTGATGCTGAATATTTAAATCATAAATCGGTTCCTAGAGTTTTCATATTTTGTAGTTTCTTAGAATTGTTCTCAATTTTTATAGGTTACAACGAAAGTTTGTTTTTTAAGTCTACAAAATTGTAGAGCTTAACGCTCCCAGGCACGATGTACGAGGCAGCCGCAAACTGAAGATTTCAACATGAGTCTCTGCCTCCGGTGTCCCTCCTCCGCCTTGTCCCACTCCTGATCACCGCGAATCGTCTTTCTCTCCATTCTTCCTGAAGATCTGACATGATAGTGACTACTCCTCCGTCGTGTCTCCGGCCTCCTCCAGATCCGCCGCCGTCGTCTGGTATGTACGCTCTGTTTGAAGCTCTCTGTCCCGACATCCCTCCGAAACCACCAGATCCTCCAGACGGTCTTTCTCTCCTCCTCGTTCTCCAGTCATTTTTCTCCTCTGTCGTCTCTCCATCTTCTCTCGCTGTCGTCGTCCACCCTACTCCCCTACTCGGCGCCGTCCTTCTCTGTACAAGCGAAACCACCAGACCTACTCAGCCCGAGCTTTGGCTCGCCGGATCTGTTTGGTTTTGCATCTCTGAAGCGCCTACACCACTCCACGCAGCCTCAGATCCTCCCATCGTTGCTGAGAATCCCTTCTGCTATGCCTCAGCCGTGTTCATCTCTGCAATGTATTCAAGGTGTTCCGACACAGCCTCCTTCACCTTCGATGTCTTCTCCTTTGTTCAGAAAATCTCAGTTTGCTATATGTGCAAGCAATCCGAATCTCCGTTCAACACACGTCACCGGGTCTATACTTTCTTGTCAAGCTCGAAAAAACCTGATGGTGAGCAGTTTTGGATGAATTCCGTCACACTTATACGGATTCAATACGGTAATATTGTATCCCAAAGTCTCTGCCTGAATTCAACTAGTGCTTTCTTTTCAACTTTTGTCAAGTACATACAGCGGGTTATCGCAAGGTATCTTGGTACCCAAAGAGTTTTTAGAAGGATGAAGTTGCCTCCGTCACGTCTCGTCATTGTGCTGATTTTAGTGGACCTGGTCCAAATTCTGGCTATTAAGAGCCTTTCAAGGGTTCACATAGCCCAGTTTCAGAGCTTTTCACAATCAGCTTCCGAACCACCATTTATATTCTTCAGTGTCAAATTAAGTCAATTAGGACTCCAGCTTTTAAAAAGCTTCATCAGCTCACCTCTTATTGCAGAGTTCATTGCGATCCGATCGGTACTTTGCATGGCGATAACCTTGGAGTTCTCTACACTCAAGGTTCTCTCCAACAGTTTAACGCTCTTCAGAGCTATCTCCGGCAACCTCCAGTCAAAAGAAATCATCGGAATTGTGAAAGACATCCGATCGATCTCCTCTGGTCTTGCACCAATGTCTATCTATCATTTTTCTAGATCGAACAACTTAGTTGTCGATGTTTTAGCAAAAATGCTCCTCAAACTCATTTCTCTTTGTATCAAACATCATGATTTGATCCATAGTTTTGGGCTCATTTCTTCTTCTTAGTTTCTAATGAAATATTCAGTGACAAAAAAAAAAAAAGTCTACAAAATTGTTATTGAGCGGTGAAAATGAATGTAACATTCACACCAGATCAGATTTAAGTCCCTTTCTGGAGCAACCGACCAGATTTAAATCTAAAGTCTTGCTTATACTAACTGCTTAAACAAGTCGATCGGTTTAAAAGATAAGAGTAGTTTTTAAAAAAAAAAAAAAACCAACGTATAAATAATATATGTAATCATTGAGAAGACTGGAGGTGATCCTTATTCTTGAATTTTTCCTATAATACTCCTTCACTCTGCAATACTTCACTCTCGGATCACCTCTTAAAATCACCACTCATCACATAAAATACCACATTAACTTATACTATTGATTATATGGTGGGTTGAAGCTTGACTTTCCGAAAGATACACATACCTTTATAAAATGTATACAATTGATATATCTCTGTCTTTAATATAAATTTTAGAACAAAATATTCTATAACGTTTTTATTTTTTATGCAAAATTTATTAATTTTGTATTATATAAAAATTTGTATTTTACAGATTATATATGGTCGAACTGTGTTTAGATGAATAACTAATAAAATTTTATCTAAGCACTTATTAAAAAGAAATAATTTTATTCTGAATTAATAACATTCCTAAAAGGTCATATCTAATTAACAACAGAGGGAGTATATATATCTCTAAAAAGAGAATGTTATTTTTTGAAAAATATTTTTTTTTTGTTTTATATGTTGTGTCGCTTTTTTAGTTTTTTTTTTAAGTAAATAAAATGTTGGATGACAATATTAATCATTTGAACATGTTGTATAACCGCATTGGCTACGCATGCCTAATATAACATTATTCGTTGTTGGTGGATTTATTTGTTATAATCTAAATATATAAGGGATAATTTGAAAACACTCTCTCTTTTGTTGGCATCTGAAAACATCTATATCAAACTTAGCAGCTTGTATATATATATATTTGCGACAAAAAAATGTCGACAACACCTATCTTTTATTAAGTTTTTGGACATTAAGTACTTTATATTCTAGCTATATAGTATGAAATGTAGAAGAACATAAATTAGAACTTCATCAAACCCACAACGATATGTTAGTCTCTTAACAGATATATCATCGGTCACAAAAACAAGCCATTGCTATCTACTAATCCCGTCAAATTATCAAAGCCGATAAGAACAAAAAATGTTAAATCGAAGGAAGAAAAAAGAAGAAGAAACAAAAAAGCAAGTAAAGCAAAAAGACAAAATAGACATCAGGCAACTAGTTTAATCATGAAGATCCCGAGTCATCAAAGTTAGGAACTCTTTTGTTTTATATTAAATCAGATATTAAGCAATTACATTTACAAATAAAAACAAAATAGTGATTTAGTCAACAAGAAATTCTAAAAATATAAAGACCATCTCGCGCCCCTAAATACGATTAATTCTCCTTTTTCCGATAAAAATTACATACGATCAACCATTCTATATACTATATATCTTTTTCTTAACACCCCCTTCTAGATATATATCTATAACTCGATATATCGGGGGTCAATGACAATAAGTTTAAGTATTTACCGAAAATCCAGCCGTTTATAGACACAATTCATGTTTCGGAATGGCTTTTTCTTGTTTGATGTTCTACTTTCGTGGTTTGAATTAGCTTTTTGTTTCTTACAAAACAATTATGGACAGACGTCAAATTTAATATTCCTAAGGTGTTGGTATAGGACTTTATCTTGTGAAATTGGTTTGTATTAGTTGATCCGTTAATACCGAAGATGTGATCAAATCTGGCTATAAGAATAAGAAGTCAAATTGTGCACCAAAAAAAAAAGAATGAGAAGTCAAATCTCACTCGTGACCTGATATTGTGTATGAACAATATAATGGAGGGATTATCAACAATTTGCAAGAGGAGATGTGAATAGTGATTCGTAGTTTTTCATTTGATGAAATTTTGATATAGCTATCTACCACATTCTTAACAGGATATATTTTATATTCTATATCCATTACGTTATGAATTTTCAACAACATAGCTTTCATTTATATATACTAATTTATAGTTCTGAAAATTCGAACCCATCTAAACTAAATATAAGAAACGAACTAAATTATTTGTCAGCCACGAGACTAAAAGGGACTTCCGCAAAAAGAAAAGAAAAACAAAGGAAGCTTTAAAATCATTTATTTATTATCAAATGCGCTTAATTATGATTATCAAATGAAAGTTGCGCCGCTAATTCACGCGGTTCCACGTGATCGAAGACACTAGAGTGGGTCTGCTTGCTTCGGTTCTAATGTCAATCCAAGTTATGACTGAAAACGTAATCTTTAGTGGTTTTAATTTAAATTTCTAGAATTATGTATGACCACGTACCCGTATAAAATATTTGAGAGGTGATAACCAATATAGTATCTAGTTTCAGATAAAACCACTGACGGGTATGCCATATAACACAACGTTAGAGGCGCCCCTCTCTTGGCGATTCATTAGGTGATTTAGGGTTTCTTTCCTTGCGCCGCCGGAGACGGTGCCTCACGCTCGTCTCTGAGAATTCTCCCCCCTGTCCTCATGGTTACGTCTGATTCTGTATCTCTTGTTCCTCCCTGGCCGCCAGATCCGTGTGCTTCGCGGGAAGAGCCTTTTGTTCCTTGCCCGTCGGAGGGGACCTCTGTTTCCTTTCTCTTCCCGGAAGTTGCTCCTTCCTCTTCTCCGCCTGTTTCAATTCCGGTTCCTAGGTCTTCTCTGTTTAAGTCGACTCAAGCTTCTGACCCTTCTATTTCGCCTTCTCCGGCCTTGTGGGTTTCGAAGCTCAAGTCCTCCGCTCATAATCTGAAAAAGTTAGCTTCACCTTCGTTTGCTCAAGACGGTACTCCCATCGTCAAGGCTCCGGACTCGGTGGTCTTCCATTCCTCTAATGTATGGAAAGGTTATTTGGTTGCTCAATTCCACGGAGACCCCCCGTCTGTTGCTAAGATTTTCTCTGACCTTAATCCAATTTGGGGGAAGGATGGAAGAATCAAAGTTAAATATCATTCAAAAAGAGTATGTCTTATTTTCATTCCTTGTGAAGTCACCAGACAATGGGTCCTCGATGTTGGGTTTTGGCATTCCGGTAACTGCGCCTTCACAGTTATGGAGTGGTCTCCAAATCTCAAGATTACCCCGATGAAGCTGGAGTATGCACCCGTTTGGGTTCGCTTCAGGAATATTCCTCCGGAATTGTGGTCCTTCGCGGGCTTTAGTACCATTGCTTCTGGTGTAGGTTTTCCAGTTCAGTCTGAATTCCCTAAGCTCAACGAGTATTCTAATGGGGTGGTTAAGTTGAGAGTGATTTTGAAGCTGGATGCAAAAAGAGCATCGTCTGTTCGGGTTGTGGATAAATTGGGTAACTCTGTCTTGGTTTTTGCAGAGTACTTAAGATTACCCCATAAATGTAAGACTTGTTTGGAGTTTGGACATTCTGAGCTTCGCTGCCCTAAAATCTCCGATCAGTTGCCAGGAAAGTCGGTTCAGTTTCCTCGCCCTTCTCCTAATCTACCCGCACCGCAATCGTCTCCAGCATTGGTTGTTTCCTCCTCCTCAAAATCAATGAAGTCTTTACCTCTGTCACGGTTAGAGAACGAGGAAGTCTCTAGTCATCAGTCAAATCAGTCAAGGAGCCAAAGTGTGGGAAGTAAAATTTCAAAGGGCAAGCCCTTAGAAAGATCTGCCAGTTTGCCTTCTCCTTCTATTAACAAAGCATATTCGGAGGCGTCTGATGCAGCAAGTGGGTGGACTAGAGTTGGGTCAAGGTCATCTCCTCCTAGGACTTCGAATTCCCGGGGAAGGTCTCTCGTTCCTATTGTGCCTGTTACATCATCTCAGTTTGATTCGGAGGAGATTATGATCAACGAGGCTCAGAAAATTTTGAGGAATCGTTTGGATGCTGCAGAAGCAGATATTCCTCCTTTTTCTTCTCCTAAGGATAGGAAGTATTTTAGGAAGAAGCAGAGACAAGAGATATGGCAAGAATGCCAGAGGGATGGAGGTGGACCTGTGTTATCGCTGGATGGACTGTCGCTGCTTTCAAAAAATTTGGTTCAAGGTTCTGTTTCGGTGGGGTTGCCAATGGATGGGCAGCCTCTACCAGCTATTTGAAGCCTAGGGCTTCGGAAATAAATCTTTTGTCCTTCATAATGAAGTGTTTTTCGTGGAATATTAGGGGTATTAACGGAGATGTTAGGAAGTTAAATGTGCAAAGGTGGATTCACCAGAACCGTCCTTTGGTTGGCGGCCTTTTGGAAACTCATGTGAAGCAAGAGTCTTTGGATAATTTTATGACAGCAAATTTCCCAGGGTGGAGATTTGATTCAAACCATAGTGCAGAAGCTGAAAACGGAAGAATTGTGGTTATGTGGAGTCCTCTAATTTCGGTGCTGGTTTACTTGAGAACTGAACAGTTGATGGTGTGTGGGGTTTATGACCCAGCGACGGGAATTTCCTTCACTGTCGGGTTTGTTTATGCCTATAATGAGAGAAGTCAGAGGAAATCTTTGT